TTCTAACATTGCTTATACATCTGCCAACTTGTTACTGATCATTAATAATCATGTTATTGCAAATCAAACACATGTCATTGGAATAATGAGTACTAAAGTAAAAGCCTTGATATATGGCCCTCTTGTGGCGCAGTGATAGTGTCCTTATGCCTGGACCAAGAGGCCCAGGTTCAAGTGCCACCTGGTCCAGAGGTGTGTAATAACATCTCTGAACAGACTGATTAGAAAAATAGATTAAAAGCAATTTTATGGCAAAACTATATTACTTTAAAACACATCAATCAATGACTACCTGTAATTAGCAAACTGAAAACATGGAATCATACTTAGACAGATTAATTCCATTGATGAATAGGGAACAAAATGTTTGTTGCCATCAGTTTTTGTTTGAAAGCAAGCTGGCATACTTAATGACTGTGATGGACATAGGTTATTCAGATCCCACAATATTTAAACCCTCTTAAACTATACTTATTTCTTATTTCATAAGGAAGATTAGCAATAAGCAGAGGTTATTTTGCTGTCTTCTTGGTCTTCTTTCCCCAGCAGGTCAATCAAGGTCTTGAGTCAATGTCTTTAGCAGAAAATCTCTGTTGGCCCTTTTCCAATTTTAACTGTCTGCACTAAAGAAAACTTACCAGTTATTGCAAGATTGGCTGAGGAGTAAGCATTTAAGGAGGTTTGAAACTAATATTACATAATTCCAAATGCTTGTTGTGATTTTCCCACATTTATGACATAGTTTCTTGATATGATTTCATTATGATGTACGTTTGTCATGGATTATGACAAACTTTACAACGCACACAGTTTTGAAGCAGTAGTCACAACATCAGCTCCAAGTCAAATCCACCAATTTAAAGTTTATCTTTTTTTAAAAAATGACTCATGGATTAAATTAATTGAGGTGGAGTCAGTTGAGTTATTTTAAAAAGCAGCCAAAGTGTAGCGGAATTCAACAGATTGAAAGGATACACTCCCTGGATGGCAAATTACAAACAAAAGCTACTTTCAAAATGTAAAATAGATAAAAGACTAGGATATTAAATGTGATCTTTTCTTTAAAAGTAATTCATGGTACTTGGGCAATGTAATTCAGCCTTTATAACCCAGCCCCACTATTTGCATAGATTATTAATTTTCCTGAGTTTCACTTTGTTTAAATAATGCATTTCAAACTAAAGTACACAACTGTGTAATACTCTTTAGAAATGCACATGAACGCCTGAAAGTTAAGTATTACTCGTGAAATTCACCCACACTTCTGATAGTTAGGACATTGTTTTATCATGGGAAAAAAACTAAATTCCATAAGGTAACACAGGGCAAATCAAACAATTTGTACTGTTACAATCCCAGTTGATGCAAATACTGGACAAGTTAAATCCCAGATTGAAACACGGTATGACCAACTCTAACTCTGTATTTTAAAACACATTCAAAAGTGTCTGCCTGTGTACTTTCAACACGAAGAATTGAAAACAAAACATGAACTGCATTATACTAGATGAAAAGGTTGGTCAGAATCATTATAAACATTAGTAAAGGATTCACATCACTCTATTCCTTTTATCCCAGCAATATTCTTACAAACTCCAAACCCAAACAAAGGTTTAGTGCTATTTCCACACTAAGGGTTGTTCCTCAAGTTGACACAGATGCAGCCAGTTTCCTTCTGGTGAATTTCTGCACATTCACTAGGTGCCTTTTACTTTGGCTAGTACTGCTTCCTGTGACATCCAAATAAACTGCAAACTAAACTTGCTGCTACTTAAACATCAAACAAAACACCAGCTCCGTAAATTCAGTTCCCAGTTGTCTTGCTGGATTTCTTAGAGAGTTTAAAATTCCCACCTCTAATCTCTGGAGTCCACATACACTCTGAATCACTGACCTTCTTCTGGATTTTTCTGTGTCTCCATGTGTCCCTGAATCCCTGTTGCTAGGCAACAGCACAGTTTTGTTTTACCTGCACCAAACTATTAACCCAAATCTCTTCACTTCAAACATCATTAAAAACATTATTTTAAAAACAGATGGTAAAAAGCTCACATAAAAAAAAATTCTAAATATGAAACTAAAACCATGTCTCCGCTTTGTATAGCAAAATAGGTTTTATATTTAAAGATATACATCGCTCATAATACGCCACAGATTAAATACCCACGTACACAGACTAGTTTCTGGCCCAAGTCCAAACTGTTTTACCAAGGGTCGAGAGCATTCCTTTACGGGGTTGGGGGGGGGTGGTAAATCTTGCTGCTGGCACACTTTCAATAATTTATTTATTAAAGTTTACAACTATGCTTGTTTTTCACATGGCACAATCAGTATTATTTACAGACCTTTACTATTTTATTGCAACAGCACAAACTCTGGACATGGCTATCTGCATTATAGTTTGGAATTGCTGAATTAACACCTATCCTAACTAGTTCAGAGTGTAGCATTTAATACCAGAACCAATTCTGTGAGAAAGAGTAAGGAGGTGAGGGAAAAGGTTACATGATACAGGAAGGTGACCAAAACTTTGTTGTAGCATGAGTTCATTTAATGAACGACTTATACTCCTAACAATTTAAGTTTTTATCTTTTTAAGTGAACATTTATTAAAGCGGGGTTTGGAGAAGTGGTGTTTTCTGATGCAGTGTCAGAGTATGGGTTAGAATCCCACCTGTCCTGCACGTGTACCATAACATAACTAAACAGGTTGGTTAAAAATATTATATACTGGTGAGGGGGGAGGGACAGTCTAAGATTACTGTAAAAAGCCAAATTCAAGGTGATGAATTATCTGCCAAGAGTAGATTTCGCTGAACAGGAATTAGTGTGACTGGCAACTATGACTCACCTGAAACAAATTTTAAAATTAACATGACCATTAAGAGTAATGATGCTGCATCACTTTAGAATTTAACTTTGAAGTAAGGTTGAAATATATAAATTACAGCACATAAGGTAGCCATTTGGTGAACCATACTTATATCAAGTGGAAAAGCACTCAATGTTCTAACTTGCTGAAAAATAGCTTCTACCTTCTCCATTCATTTTTACAGTGAAAATGTTGCATTTATGTCCTTGTTATAACTTTCTAGCCTGTGCAAAGAATCATTCACTGTTTAAGCCTTTCAAAGCATTTCACATGTTTTCAAGCTTTATTGTTCAAGTTAATGAACTACAATTTCATTTGAGCCCATGTAACTAAAGCCTCTCATCTTTAGTGCAGCTTAACACTGATTCCTTACCCTGAACAATCCTCCATATGTAACCTAACCAATATCAACGAATCACACAACTTCACTTTTGTAGTCAATGCTATAATTAAAAAAAAACAAACATTTTCACTTTATAAATAATATATCGTTTTTCCAACCTTCACTGTCACCTTCAAAATGTTTATGTAGCCTACTTTGCAAATTTCCTTTCGAAAGACACACCTCCTTGCCCTCTAACTACTCTAAGTAAATTGAAAAAAATACACATATTGTAGAGCTACACACTTGCTGAAATTATGGTGAACAAGAAAGTTCAAAACATTCCAGATGGGTAAAAAAAATCTTTCTGATGCAAATTTGTGCACATGAACTTCATACGTACAAATTCAGCATAACTACTATAACAAAATATTCATTAATTAAGCTATATTAAAGCATGGGACTTAAATCAGCTATGATTCCACTTGCAGACCCAAAAGAACAATTCTTCCAACTGTTTCAGATATAATGACAGTGATACTTCACTTGATTGTTTTATAAGTTACTGGAGGCAGCAAAATTTCTTTTACCCACTTTATGGAGATCAATGCTATTGTTTTCCACACAAGTTGGCTCAGTATCTGTATAGATGGAGTAATTTACAATTTCAGAGCATTTTATTTTACAAATTAATGTAATTTCTGGAAAAAAAAGCACTGGGTTGCACAGGCACTTTTGTTTTCAATTTTAATCAACATACTTTGTTGGATGCTAGTAGCTCATCTTCCAAGTGGTGCAATCCGCACTGTTAATTATATAGATTTTGATGCCAAATTGGGTAAAATAAAAGCATACCAAATGTTCTAAAGACAAAACTCAGCTAGACAGGACAGTTACAGACTGCCCAGCTTGATCTGACCAGCATTTGACAGTTTTCCTTATAAAATATTAGACATCGCACCATAGTGCTTTGGTGACTTATCAAGTCTTTGTTTAAGCCATAGTGTAAGCCTCAACTGTAGTGTGAAAAATACGGCTATGACGAGTAGCAAACGAATCTATTTAGATCCATAAAGAGACAATCTTCCTGATTATACTTTGTGTGGTTGCATCAATTATGTTTTTTTTGAGAAATTGGACAAAACACAGCAATATACAATTCAAGAGAAAAGTTTAATTCACGCCATGATAGCTACATATGGGATTGTACCTGTGGTAATAAGGTCCACATTCGTGCAGGTTACTTAGCCTTGGAAATCAACTCATCACCCAAATTACAAACACCAAAGGCTGAAATGCATCTACAAACGCTTTCACGTTTCTTGCCATTACTTCTTTTTCTTCGCCAGTAAGCATAGGTATTTAAAGATTTAATGTCCTGGCCATCCATGGACCAACAGGTTACCTGTATCTTTGGTGAAAACCATGCTTATAAAGTTGTCCAACATTCAAGGTGTTTTCTTCACTTAAGTTACCTGATGCTGTATGACAGGCTAGACAGACAAGAACCCATTTAAGGAACTTTTCCAGAGTAAATGGCATTAATAATTATTTTGTTTGTCTTTTGCCCCTAATAAATATTGATGATTTGTTTAAGTTATTGAAGTAACTTTTCAATAAAAATATAACACAGCTACCTGCGAATAAAAATCCTTCTACTAGCATCCAACAAAGTACATTGATTAAAATTGAAAACAAAAGTGCCTGTGCAACCCAGTGCTTTTTTTTTCAGAAATTACACTAATTTGTAAAATAAAATCAAATTGTTTGCATTTTAAATTCTAAGAATATATCCTATTTACACAGATGAAAAGATGTCTGCAAGGATACAAAATTCAAGAACCTGTGGACGCAGTACTCGTGCAGATGGAAGGATAACTTATAGTAGCAGACTATAGCTAGCCAAAATGAAGGATCGGCTTCAAGAACTTAAACAACGGGCAAGAGAGGCTGAACTTAAGACAGGCAATGAAGGTGAAGAAAGCAAGCAAACTGAAGAGAGTATTTACTTTAAACAACAAGCCATTATTTTTGAAAAAGAGCCAATCATGGAGAATTTCTTACTAGGTGCACAGAAAATTCAAGATGAAATCAATGAACTAAATAATGATATAAAGAAACTGAGTCAACAGAGCACCACCATGGTTTCCACACGTCGGTTCAGCATTATTAAAAAGGACAGTTCCAACCTCATTAAAGAAATCAAACTCCAAGCCGAGTCCATTCACAAACATTTAGATACATTATCAAAGGATGCACAACAATCAGAGGCTGACGCTGGAGAGGATGCAATTATTTCAAGAATGAAGAGGACACAATATTTAATGCTGTTGAAGCAGTATCAGACAGGCATGTCAGACTTTAATACTGTTCTAAACAAAAAACAAGAAAATTGCAAAAATTTCATTCAACGCCAGCTTGAAGTTGTTGGAAAGGAAGTATCAGAAGAGGAGCTGAACAACATGGTGGAGCATGACAAATGGTACGTTTTCAACGAGAACTTTCTCAGTGATGTCAAAATTACTAAAGGTCATCTGTCTGAAATTGAGAATCGCCACAAGGAATTAATCAACCTTGAAAATCAAATCAAAGAGCTACAAGATCTTTTTGTGCAAATTTCACTTTTGGTGCATGAGCAAGGGGACTTCCTGAACAACATTGAAAGGGCAGTGTTGAACACAAAAGAATACACAGAAAAAGGCAGGGATGAAATCAAGCTAGCAGTAAAATTAACAAAGAAAAATCTATGCAGGAAGTTGTGCTGTTGGTGTTTCCCTTGTTGTGCATGATATTATATAACTAGACGTTATGTATGGGAACCGTGTCACTTTCAGCAATAACTACCAAATATTTATCACTATAAAATTAAGATTCACCTACAAACATATTAGGTTTGAGAAAGCTGTGGATGGACTGCAAAACCTGTCACTCCAAGAAATAAATGAAGTTGCCACCAGTGCCACCCTGTTTTAATGTTTAAACATTGCTGTAACCCTGGAGCCAGATTGGGAGTGTGAAGTTAAAGAAGAGCTGGGCACCTGTAGAGCAAGGGATATTTTAACAACCATTTTGCAAGCAATGATGGGCATCTGAGAACAGGATGGGCCATTCAAACCATGAATTCTAGTAAGCACCAGCAAAGAGATATCAAAGAGCCTGGGAACAACTCTTAGGGCTGTCCCACAGGGTCTCCACTCCAGGGCTGCCATTACTGCCTTGGAGCTCACTGTTTGGGAACTATTGATCTAAATGGGTCTATTTTTCTAATCCTAGGAAGGGAAAAAAATAACAGTACAGTTACTTGCTACCTGTCAGGAAATAAACATTAATTTACAAGTAAACTCAATTAGCAAAAACATCAATTAAACAGGAATTGTAGTGCAACTACAAAGCACAATCTGTTATTTGGACTGGCCTGAAAAATATCACAAATAACCTGACATACTTCTTTTAATTGCTTTATTTATTTGCCAGCAAAAAAGTCCCAGTTCTTAATTCAGATAACTCAGAAAAACTTCAACATGACGGTTTAGCTTTTAATATTTGCTTTATGCAGAACTCATTGCATTGCAAGTATGTGCATCATGCACATGAAACACATCATATACTTGACAGACTGAAATTATCTTCCAAATAGGTTAGGTAGGGAATAACTAAACACAGAAACAAAGTTTTGCGGGGCTTTCCTGTTCCTTCGATTTTAATGTAAACATTATGGAATCAGATAACAGAAAATATTACTCACTGCATAAGGTTTCATATTCAATAATTAGAGCAGAATCATCAAATCATTGAATCCCAACAGTGTGCAAGCACGCCATTCAGCCCATCAAATCCATACCAACCTTCCAAAAAGCATCTCACCCAGAACCACACCCCTATCATATCCCTGTAACCTGCATTTTCCACGGCTAATCCGCCTAGCCTGCAAATCCCTGGACACTACAGGCAATTTAGTGTGGCCATTCCGCCTAACCTGCACATACAGTCATAATCATACAGCACGGAAACAGACCCTTCAGTCCAACCAATCCACGCTGAACATAATCCCAAACTAAACTAGTCCCACCCCACTGCTCCTGGCCCATATCCCTCCAAACCTTTCCTAATCATGTACTTATCCAAATGTCTTTTAAATGTTATAATTGTACCCAGATCCACCACTTTCTCAGGAAGTTCATTCCACACGCAAATCATCCTCTGTGAAAAAAGTTGGTCTTTTTTAAATCTCTCTCACCTTAAAAATGCGCCTTATAGTCTTGGAATCTCCCATCCTAGGGATCTTTGGACTGTGGGAGGAAACCTGAGCACCCAGAGGAAACCCACGCAGACACGAGGAAAACATGCAAACTCCACACAGACAATTGCCAGAGGATGGAATCAAATCTGGGTCTCTGGTGCTGTAAGGCAGCAATGCTAACCACTAAGCCATTATGCCATCGTGATTGCCTTTCTTATTGTCAAGCATTTCAACACATCCATCAATAACTGTCTAAATATTTTGGACTAATTCTTGCTAGATTTTGTATCTAGAGGCACAGACTGGAAGTTCAAATGCTTTCTGTACTTTGCAACTCAAAAAAAAATTTGTGTCATAATTTGCCAGAATTATGAACAAATAATGAAAACAACACAACATCATTTCAGTGAAAGCTTGAAACAACAGAGTATCTCCTTAACCAGTGAGAATTAGGGATTAAGAAACAGTACAGAAAAACAGAATAGATTAGGAGAGAGAAAAAGAGACAAAGAACAAATCATTTTCAAATTTTGACAACAATTGATTACACATTGAAATGAGATCTGTTTTAACTGTTTCTGGACCAGAGGTGTTCATTTGCATTGTATTAATAACAATCACTTGGTTTAAAAAGAACAGTACTCATATTGTGAGGTTCTGTTCCTAGCTTTCTGTGGCAAGTCTAACGGGCAACTAATGTACAAATCCAACAGTTCCTTAAAAATTACAGGAGGCTAAAAGGCATGCGCAAACAAATCGATCAAAAAATTCTGGAAATTTGGATCTCATCAACATTTCTTATATCCATGAATTTGCTAGCCATTTTACACATTAACAATGCCACGTGCTGTTAATTTTAATAATATCCAATCCAATACTAAGGCAAGTTAAAAAAAGATCAGAAGAAAGAAGATTTTATTGGGCTCATTTCTGCTATTTTGTAATCTGAGGAGGTTTTACGATACTAAATAGAATTGTATCATTCTATTTGTACTTGAAAATTGTCTGTTAAACTACATACAAAAAAATTTTTAATTCCTCCCCCAACCCCCAATTACGGTATGGTTCCATTGGTGCAGGGCACTCTCTGGTACCTACCCAAGTGGCCATTATTCATGTTTGAGGCTTCAGTTTACTATTTCCATTTTGTCATGCGAGCTGTCACTCATTTCTTCTATCTTGAAATTCCCTACACAGAGATAGTATATTAAGATAGTGGAAATGAAGTATTAACTTACAAGGCTTTTGGTCCTAAATGCTAGTCCATTTGTTACTGACTTATAAAACAAGAGTATTATTAGTTACCTCCACAACTACACGTATGTGTAAAATGCAAAAATCTCCACAAATTTTGGCATCATACACACTGTATTGTTAAAAACCTATAGCAGCAGTCAAGGAAGAGGCAGTAGCCAATCATGATTCTACTACACTGCAATTCTTTTTGTCATGGAATAACACTTTAAAGATTAAGTATAATTTACACTTGCTATTGTAATCTCAATACCTAGATACACCTACAGTATTGTACATTGATTGAATAACATTATCATATCAGACACCATTCATTTTAAATATGTAATCACTACTTTATTCATGTATGTTATTAGATTGTTATTATCTATGCATAAGAAACTAAATTAGTTAAATTCACAGATGATGATCCTAATGAATGCCCAACCTAGAAGCAGCAAGCAGTGGAAGAGATGGATAAATTAAGTGGGAGGATGACAATAAATTAAATAGATATCTATGAAAAGCACTGAATAGTTGAAGAAAACATCGTATTATGCATGTATATTGGCAGTAGAAGTAAACATGCAGTTGGAAGGGGCCTGGGAGAAAAATAACTTCTTAAACTTGTCAAATCACAATAATACAGGAACAAAACAATTACAATGCTGAAAAACATTTGTTTGATCAGCGGAGTACAAATCAGAGGATGTTATACTAAAGTTGTACAGGATTTAGCTCAGACTATATCATCAGAACTGCATTCATCAAAATACAAAGGAAATTTACAAGCCTTTGATGCATCAAAAAATTGATTCCTAACATCAAACATTATTATTTTGAGGAAAACTAAGGCAACTAGGCTTGCCCACTCTGGCAGTGGCAGTCTGGGTGTGGATCAGGAAAAAGTACAGAGACACTAAATGGTACAGTTGGGGTAAACAGAGTATTTCCTTAAGAAAGGTCAAGCTATTAAAACAAGGGCACATCAGCTAAAACTTTGGTCAGAAAGAAATTTATGCAAGACAGTAATCAACTTGAGTGGTTGGATTTGAAATCTAATTTGAGTGGTCTTCTTGATATGGTAGCCAATGTGAAAACCTTGGGCTCATTACTGTAGAATGATACCAAGCAAAGGGAGGGAGAAAACTAATTTTACAACACTGAATGGAAAAATTAAACTAGCCCGAAGACTTCCATCATCCGTGCTCATGTTGTACCTGTGCAAACTGACCACAGAATGATAGACTATAAATTAAGGATTTCCTTTCTCAACACTTTCTTGTCAACTGCAGCTGCAAAACTGAGGCAGTAACTCAAATTCTATCAGATTTTGATTCTATTTGGATTTAGGCACCAGCCTTGGTGTAAAAGTTGCACTCTCACCTCTGAATCAGGTCTTGGCTTCAATTCATACTCCATTGACTTTGGTACATAATCTAGGTTGATACTCCAATGCAGTACTGCTCCACTTACACATTAAAATGGACACAAAAAATTCATAGTATTGTGTGAAGCACAGAAGTGCTTTCCTACTGTACAAGTCAATATTTAACTTTCAAACAATATCTTATT